CAGCATAAAAGTGAAATAAATAATCAATAAAGTAGGTAAATATGTAATCATTGAGAATAATTATAAAACTTGCAGGGAGTAAAAGCACTTAGGGTACAAGTAATTTAAAAGGTGTTTTTTTTTTTGAGTCCTTTAAGTCGTTGATGGTTTTTAACTCGGAGGGCAAATACTTGAACATAGATCCACATACATAGGTAGTCAGGGCTATAGTACGGTATGTGTAGTGTATTGTATAGTTGTTCAGTGTAATATTATTATGATTCCTTAGATTCCTTAGATCTCTGGGACTCTTTTAGGCAAGCGAATTTGGAAGGATATGATTTTACATAAAATGACACCTCTAGAATAAGTAGGGATGCTTACGTTTGTATTTCTTATTCTCTACATGTTTTTCGACAAGGCTCTAGATGATCCAATAATAGTAAGAATATGACTATTCTCATTGAAGGATAAATATTCATTGGGCATCCCCAATATAGCACTCAATATTTAAGATGGTAACATACAATAGAGTAGTAGACGTTTAATAAGCGTGTTTTATTCATTACGTATTTTAAGTACCTTAGAGCAAAAAATGTTGAATACATCTTTTTGGCTACATACTTTATGTGGTCTTTCCAGCGTAACTGTTCATCCACTGTTAGACCTAAAAGTTTTATGTTTGTTGCTCTTTCCAGTGACTGTTAATTGTAACTGTGATGTTGTTGATACATGATTTATTTGGCTTTATCTGTATTAATTAGTAACCTATTTAATACTACCACTTTTGAAAACTGCATCATGATATTAGCCCTACTTTCTAGATCCTCTAGCGACTTTGCTACTGTTAGAGTTGTGTCATCAGTAAATGTTTCATTGTAAACTATTAGTAGTAGTAGCGTGTAGTTTTGAGAAGGCAGACGGTTATTTTATGGGGCGGTAATTTTTCAAGTGTTCAGTGCTTCATTTTTTGTGAATAGGCAACACTACAACTACTTGCAACAAATCCGGGAAGATAATAATAATAATAATAATAATAATAATAATAATAAAATGCCTTTTATTTTTCTGGCGAGGATTCAGCTAGCAGCTGTTCTTACTCCCTAACCAGTTGCAACTGATAAGTTAAATAAATATATGAGTAGAGATAATAGAAAGTAAGAAATGAACTTAGCACTCTTATGGTCCACACGCATCATTTTTCAATTCATTTAGAGATTTATTTATTATGAGCTGCAAAGTATTCATAAAAGCAATTTGCAATTTTAACTGGATCTGTCCGAGTCTCATCTCTCGTGTTTATGTGCATTACTGTTTGTTTATGTTTTATCCTTTTCATTTTGATGTTTATAATTTTTGTTGTTGTATGACTACTCGTTAGTTGTATTGTGATACTAAAATATTCTGGTTCCTTTATTTTCAGTTTGGTATTATATTCTAGCTTAGCTTGCGTATATTATGTTTCTTTCATGGTAGAATTTTAAGATGATTGCTATCCTCCAAAATATCCCAATCAATCCCAATTTGTGGTAGAGAGAAAAGTTAGGGTTAGATTTCTCGGAGGGCAAAACCTTAAATGAATACAGAATTTCTTCCGATAATTATTGCTAAATGGTCTATTTATGGCTAATTCAATGAAAAGTCCTTCTACAGAGCAATACCTGTATATAATACGCTATCAGAAGGACGTCATCCACTTATTATGATAAAAAATGGCGTCTAGTAGGTCGATTCTGCTTTTCCTAGGAGGAAAAAATTAGCTACGAATATGTATAACAAAGAAGTTAGATAAATTAAGACATTCAAAGAGGGCCATACAATTGTTATATGTTCACCAGCCTCTTGATAATGCTGCGATTTAATTTTTTTCCTATCGACAGGATCCGCCATCTGGCAATGTTGCTAAACAGCACCAGCGGTCAGATGCAGACAGGGTTCTATGTACTGTGTGAAAATCAAAAGTTTTCCAAATTTGGCCTAATAAATCAGCTTACAAATCTCTTCACAATAAAGACATCTTAAAATACCGTACGAGGTCTTGTAGAGCAAGGTTCTACCTTCAATTTGGATATTTTGCAAATGCAAACAAAAATTATAAGTTTCGAGTTTTTAGATTTTGAGCATTGCATACATGTACTCATTTTCAGTGTTTTTTCAGACGTTAAATCGCTTATAATCCGAAAACGGTCAACTTTATATAAAAGCTGCTAGAGACATTTTTTGTTCGGAATTATCCATAGAATATGAAAAAAATAGTTTGGGCGGAAAAAATACATTTTCTCGTAACTTATGAACAGTACAATTGCAGCAGCTATGTCGATGGTGTAACTTGTAGCGCTAGAAGGAATTTTAAGAAAAATGAGGAGAATTTATCTGTCAGTTTTAATCACTTATTCCAAACTAATCAATCAATGACTGACAAGGTATCCAGTGATCATTTTTGAACAGATTAGATGAGGCAAGAGCTTCACATTCGCGAAAGAAGCTTTCGCACGTTTGTTAACACGAAACAAGGAGTAGCCGCTTGGTAACCACAGTCAAGTTTGTTTAAACAATTTTTTCAAGTGAATTACTAAAAAGTTTCATTGCGCCCTGACAATTTTTTCCCAGATTTTTTCATTCTTAACAAAAAAGCTATCTGACAGCTTTTCACTAAAGTTGACCGTTTTCGAGTTAAGCGATACAATATTATTCGATGCCTAAGAACTCGGTTAAGAATTATAATTTTTCGTCAAAGTCTCTTAAGTCAGAACCCTGTTCCACAGAGTCCGAAGAGTATTTTGAAGCGACTTTCGTGCTTGTCGATTAGGCCAAAATTGGCGAACTTCGGATTATGTTCGTAGCGTTGCTCTGTGACACATTTGTTGAAGATAATTCTCTATATTGTGGGTACGATGAAATTTATGATGCGTGATAGGTATATGAAATTAGCGGTTAAAAGCGTATAAATGTGTTAAGTTGAGACATGCTTTCCTCCACCTCCTACAATCCCCAACCCTCAATTTTTAACCACTACAAACATGTAAATGGTCAAGAACTTATGAGATGTAAAGACGAAGTAGCAGCAATTTTTATTTTTAATTTTTAGCTTCTAGCTCCGCCGCCACTGTACCGATTTTCAAAAGCAACGAAGTTTCTTCGTCCTTAATAACTAGTAACCTTGTGTCAAATCTCCACAATCTGACAGCCCGGAATGAGAGCAGTGTGTATTCGTTGCGTACATGCCATGTGATACCCTAACAAATAACATCTCATTTTCGAGAATTTTCGCGATTAAAATACGTCCTTGCCACTGGTGTACGAAGTAATAATAAAATGATTTTCCAAAAAGCGGAAAAATATAACTTCTGCTCGACTTCATAACCCTAGAATATATGTAAAGTCAATACCTTTACCTACTACAAAGTGGTGGTACATTTAATAATTACCTAAATACATTGACATTTAACTTGATAATTCGAATAAATACGTTGAGTTCAGTTTAGAAGATGGTGGAAATGGTTGCTTGAACTTCCTGACACGATAATAGCCGGTCAGTAATTTCGCGTCGAACATTTTCACACATATTAACATCAATATTTGTTATTCTCAGCCGTATATCCAATATTGAAGCAGGTTCAGTTTCGTATACCTTTTGCTTCAAATAGCCCCATAAAAAAAGTCTAAAGGTGTCAAATCTGGCGAGCGAGCTGGCCATTCCACAGGACCTCGACGACCAATCCAACGACCGGAGAAATTGTCATCTAAATAATTCCTAACTTGTCTGTAGTAGTGTGGTGGAGCACCATCTTGCTGGAATACAATATCAGTATCGAATTCATTGGGACTCGCTTCGACGATTTCGGTGATTAGAGGGTCAATAATAGCATATCCAAATACAGTTTCCCGGTTAAAGTTTGTTCGATAAATAGATGCCCCACAATATGATTTCCCAATATCGCAGCCCAAACGTTAATTTTTTGTGGATATTGAGTATGAGTTTCCCGGAAAAAGGATTGGTGTCAGTCCAATAACGACAATTTTGACTATGCACACTACCGTTGAGAAAAAATGTACATTCGTCACTAAAACAAATATTTTGGATATAGGCAAGATGCCGTGCAATGGTTTACGTCATAGTCTCGCAGAACTCTGTTCTTCGATCAGCGTCATCTTCAGTTTGTACCATATGAATTTTGTAAGGGTGTCACTTATTCTTCTTCAAAAGTCTCCATACAGTAGAAGGACAAACCTCACGTACATTCGCGATGGAGGAAATAGACTGTTGGGGATGAATATGACCCTGATCAATTATTTGAGCTTGCTTTTCTTTCGAGATGGTCGGCTGACCTGGGGGCATCTTGTTATTTACACTACCAGTAGCTGTAAATTTAGATACAAGTTCCCTTAAATATTTTCTACAGATAGGACGATTCGGGAAACGATCATTAAAGATCCTTTTGGTCTCGTGAAAGTTACGCGTCGCACCATAAATAAAAATCGCTTTGATTTTTTGTTCCAATGGACCATTTCGAAAATAGTTCAAACAGTATGTAGCACTAAAACCGAAAACTAATAGGAATATTTTAACAGCACAATGATGTTTGTTTTCGTACTGATATTCTTGTCACTGTCAACAAAAAATAACAAAACAAGTTTTTATCGCTGTTGCTGTGGATACGGCAGGGAATTACAATTATTTGTAAAGTTATGCATGTCAGTGGGTTTGTGTTCAAGTAATTATTAGATATACCATCATTTTGTTGTAGGTGAAGGTATTGACTTTATATTCTAGGGTTATAAAGTACTCATCAGGAGCTTCAAAATGATGTGCCACAAGACCGTCGTTTTCATATAATTTTTTTCCTAGATGGCGCCCAGCGGCCATCTTGACATTTTCATCTGTCAATTTTACTCTACGATATGGTATCCACGCATCAATTTCATTACCACAAGTTTTAATTTTTTGAATTCATCCGTTCAAAAGGTCAAAGGGGAGGGGACGTTAAAGAAAAGCACTAAGTATATAACATTAATTTTCTCTTTTGTTTATGTCATGTTTGATTTTTTCTAAATAATAATAAATTCAGTGTTGTAACAGTGCCTGAGATATGGTAAATCATTCTGTATATCCGTAAAAGTTGAATTTAGAACTTTTTGAACTGCATGAAATACGTAGCTGATCTGTGACCTTTTTTCGATGAAGACCAGTGATGTGAGCTAGTAAATACTTTATTACGAACGATTCAACTCTTCGTACCTATCCCAATGTTATTATCTTTACCCAGTATAAAAGCTAGCTACATTCTACTCTCGCTCCTGTTTTCCAAACATATTTACCCAGTGCTGATTTTGCACAGCTATATAATCTTTATCTAGTCAGATTTAACACTCGATTGGGCAATACCGCACCTTCCACACATACAATGTAAATATATACATGTTATTGACGTGTTTGCTTGTATTTCCACAGGATCGTGCAAATAGTTACAGGAAGATATCCAGTAGTTGATAAGTTCAAATACTACCCAGCTTTACCGCTCAACAATTTTAGATCCTCGACAAAGCGGCCTGTTTGTGAAACCGTGTATCACTTGTACTTGCGACGGCAAGGGATCCAGTATTACATAAATATAGCAAATAAGTAATTACAATATTATAGATATTTATTGAAATTTCTCTATAAAAGTAATAACAAAAGGTAATACTGGGTGCGGTAATCAGTCGTAAACCACGACTTCATCACAATATGGCGTGAACATTCAATAAATAGTGCCTAAATGTAAAATTTTGTTCATTTTGAGTTTATTTTTCATGGACGTTACAAATGCCATTCCTTAGTCGGATCTAGTTTGCCATTTCTACTTCATCCATGATACAATTGTAAACATCCTGCATGAGTTGCACCCCGACTTCTCCGATATTTCGTAGTCCTTTCAAACCACAGGAGTCTATTGAGATCACTGTCTTCAGTACCAGTGACTGTATCTTGGCTGTGAGTGAGTATATCTTTGGTGGAACCTGCAACAAAAACTTACTATTTTAGATGCAGAATCTAGAAGAGTAAAAAAGACTAAATCTGTATCAAGCGGTTCCGCCTTAAAAAAGATCGGTATCAAAGTCGGGGAAGGATGGAGGCCAGCTAGTAGGTAGACTTTGTACTTCTCATTCATCCATTTGCAAGTTACGTTCGTTTGCACGTTTCGTTGAAATGGGAATCGAAAATGGGATAATATGTTTCTTGGATGTTCTATGGCACATGCGTTACGGAAAATCATGTCATTTTTGTCCGTCTGTCTGTTGTTGGAAAGTACTGGTCGGATTTGGATGACATCTTTACACTTATACATAGCACTATGACAAGGACGAAAGAGGTTTGAAGTTTCTTAAAATCGGTCCAGTAATGGGGGCGGAAAAGGCCAGAAGTTTAAAATTGCTGTCACGTGCCAAAATGACGTAACCTTTTTTTTTACTATTTATCACTTATCTGTAATTTGAATTTCTCTTGACTGATAATATGCCCATTCCTAGGTCAAACCCTTTTCAATGATTTTATTTTGGCAAATTTTATAGTTTGTTGATTATATAATTTCAATCGTATTATACCTTTCTTTCTCAGCGGTTCAGTATGGTGTTGGCGATCAGCAAAAAACTCTATAGTTTTTCTCCTTCAGTTATTTTCATACAAAACATATTTTCTTCAAGTCCACTCAAGATACCTTCTTCTAGAACGTTACGTGTTCTGTGGGATTCGCTTTTCTGTTTCCGTTGAGGTCGTGGTGCAGAGAATGAAGTGAAATTCAAACTACTCTTAAGTGACCAAAATAGTAAAAAGAAAGGTTAAATAAGTTGCCGCGAAAGAAAACACATCCGACAGAATACCGAAAGGAACAGATAAAAGCCGATAAAGAAGGGATCTTGATAGGACGGTAAACATTCATATATGGCTAGTACGTTTAAACATCATAAAATGGCGCGTTGGATCCCGATGGGCAAATCTGTCTACGAGGGACCAACAATATTTAAGAGAAAATTCTTCAAATAGAAGAAAGATTTCAATGCAATATTGAGTCGCTGAGAATCATAGATGTACTACAAACTTCCTCCTTGCATATTTCAGAGGCTCTTAATCATTTCTAGAAAATTATTTGAGCGGATTGATAGTTGTAAGGGGTGGTGGAGGATATATCTCAGTTCTTTGATGCTAGTATAGTTATACGCTTTCTACCTCGGTAGTTCTATGCACCTATCAGACATATTTCACACATCATTGATAACCCGTACAACTGCCCTTAAAGCGGCAGAGATTTTTTTTTCGATAAACTTCTGCTCTGTCTATACAGGGTGACTTTGAAGTTGAGTCATTAATTTTCAGATAATGATTGTAGAAGGAAGGTAAACCAAAATATGTTTGTAAAAATAAAAAATAAATAAAAAAAAATGTTACCTTGTTTTATAAAGTACCCTCCCGACAAGTATTTCAGTGCGGACCTGTATTTGATCGTGCGGTCTTGGAGCACCGGCATGCCCTCCCCTGTGAGGTCTTAAGTCACCTGATTCATGAGCCCTTTGTACTAAATTAACAAAGGCACGAGGGGTTGGTTGCACTCGATTGGGAAACCGATCCGCATAAATCCATGATGCCGCGGCAGCATTTTGTAAATAAGAATCATGTCCACAAGTTCAGTATTTTCGTAAACATGTGCCATTTTTTATTTCGTTTGAGCCATGCAACAAACATCACTATTCACTCACGCGTTACCGACTGACATTGACTGAATACAATTGAATAAAATTGTAGTAAAAACATCGTGATAAGCGTTTCAAATTCTTTCGCTTTTTTGTTTCCGATGCGATGAACCGATAAGGCGGATTATATCCGTTGTTGTCAAACACGAGCACATAATATTATTATTGAGACAGGGCGGTACTCAAACTTCTAAAGGGCTATAACTTTGTTACTTTAATTTTACCACAAAAATGTTAAAGGGAAAAAACATTTCTTTTGATCAGATCTACTCACTGTTGAAATAAATGACTGAACTTCGAAGTCACCTTGTATAAGTGACCTGGCTTAACTGGCACTATGCCGCATTTTGCTTTCATCCGCCTGACCAAGGAATGCCAACCATGGTCAACTGCTCTTTTGGCGACTGACCAGCTTGACCTGGGCATGCTCCTCTGGGTCTAGTAATGAAAGCATAGCCAACAGCCAATTACCAGGTCTATGGCGCTGTCTTAAATCGATAGGGTCTAACGTATGCTAAACATAATCCTTTATGAATGAACAAAAACTACTGATTATTATTTGGAAGAGCTAGTAACTTTAGGATAACAGTATTTTTTAATTTTTCCAAAGATATCCAGGAGTTTGAGGAATAGTAATATCAAGGTTAGATTCCTTTAGAAAACCCATAGAAACTGATTCTGCGTAACAACATAATTTCGAAATGTTCTGGTACTCCTTTGTTCTTAGACAATGTCCCAGATACTCGCCGACCGATCCTTTTCCGTCCTACTTAGAGGCAAAAAAACAAAATCCGACAAAGCTCTATACCTATAGAACCGAAGTTTAACTATGACGATGTTCGGATTGTCCATCATTAGAAGGCTAAGCCCTAGAGTCCTCAAAGGAAAGCAGTTTTGATTAGGTATAATATATACTGAAATTGAAATATATCTACAGGATTTGTCCGTAAAGTAATAGGACTGAATCGATTTAAAGAAATTTATTGAGCCAATCGTTACAATTCTTTAAAAACTTTCAAAATAGGCTCCTTCTGCGTCGATGCAGTGCTGCCAGCGCGATTTCCAAGCATTGAAGGCGTCACGAAAGGCATTCTCCGGAATAGCCTTGAGAGCCGCGGTGTAGGCTGCTTGGATCCCCTCTGTCGTCTCAGACGAAGAAACAAAAAAAAGTCCGGGGGGCACATCTTGTCGGACCCGACTGACCCTTCGTTTGAGTCTCCTGAGCACTTCCACGTAAAACTTGGCGTTGACGGTTTGTCCAGGAGGAACAAATTCATGGTGGACGATGCCTTTGATGTCAAAAAAGACAATGGGCATCGTTTTCACTTTGGATTTGCTCATTCTTTCCTTTTTTGGGCGAGGAGACGCCGTCGTGTGCCACTCGGAAGATTACCTCTTTGTCTCGGGATCATACTCAAAGATCCACGACTCGTCACCTGTGACTACGTTATTCAAAAATTGGGGGTCACTTTCACACATGTTCAAATTTTCTTGGCACACTTCCACTCGCCGCAATTTCTGGTCGTCAGTGAGCACTTTTGGGACCATCTTCGCGCACACCTTGTGCATGTTCAAATGCTGTGTCGCAATGTCATGAACCACAGATTTTGGTAAATTTAACATCTGGGCAATTAAACGAATACTTAGTCGATGGTCTGAGTTCAAAACTTTGCGCACACGAGTCACATTATCGGTGTTTGTCGAAGTCGAAGGTCTTCCAGGACGGTCTTCATCAGCGACTTCTTTCCGGCCCTCCAAAAAGGCCTGGTGCCACCGAAACACACCACTTCTTGCTAAAACAACATCTGGGTAAGCCTGCTTGATCATACCAAACAGATTTACCGAGTTTCACACAGAATTTAATCGCGTACCTCTGCTCTAACGACCGCTGCATTTTCGGCTTGCACCACTCACAGAAACACGTCGCACGAAAATACCTGTCCTGACTCTCCAAGTGCTCGGGGACAACTGACCAGCCGCTCATTCGTTAGCTAGGAACGCCCTCTACCGAATCCAGTTGGTGCGCGCACGCTCCGAAGTACAGTCATGGCGGCAGAAAATGAGTCCTGTTACTTTCCGGACAAGCCCTGTATGTTCAGAATTTCCTCACTGAATATCATTTCCTTGTAATTCTGATATTTTCCAGGTCAGATGACAATACTAACTCAACACATATGCAAGCATGTTGTAGAGCGCGTTGATGTTTACCGCGGAAATGTAAAAAAATTCATGGTATTTCTGATTTACATGAACTACTAAATGCCATTTAAATAAGAGGCTTATATGCAGCGTTGTCTGTAATTCAACAAAAGGTAATTGGTGAACGAACAGGCTTTCACCCAACTGTTGTCAGCAATTCCCTACAGATAGACAGGTACAGGATAACAGGATTTCGTATTCTTCACACAAAGATACATGATATATTCACTGTCTTTACAGGCAATAATAATAATAATAATATGTCTTTATTGGGCGAAGTTTAGCATAAGCTATTCTACCACTTAGCCCGTAAAATGTCCCTCCACAAAATAAACAATAAAAAAATTCCAATATCACATCTCAGTTTGAACGTAATTTGTGCGAAAATTTGCTAGCTATATCTGTAATGAAACTAAGTAATTGTAACTCCTCCATAGAATATTTTGATGAGGCTGAATAATAGCGCTATGAAATGAGAAGCTAAAAGCCACAACCAGTCCCTGAAAAATCCTCCATTAGCTTTGGATGAGGAAATTGTATAAGCGGACCATCAAACTTCAAAATGAAACTCTTATCTTTCCCAATTTATTTAACTGCTGCAGAAACAAAAAAAAATGGGTCAATCCTCCTCGAAAGTCATATTTACCACAGCGTTTACGAAATGGTATACAGGGTTATCCAAATTAAGTGTCCACCATTGGTAACTTTGTTATTAGTAAAAATACAAAGTTGTTTAAATTAGCAAACTAGTAGCATTTTTAACGCTGGTAAAAATGAGAATTAAAAAAAAACAATTGAGAGTCGTTATTTTGATTTTTTTCAGTAAAATAACATTTTTTTAAATGGAAACTCCTGTATATTATATTTTTTTCTGTTAAAGCATCAAATTTTAAACAAAAAAGTTCATAATGACTTTTCCGCTAAAGTCAAAAATAAAGTCAAAATAACGATAAATATTTTTAATTATTTGCAGTATTATAATATTAAGACGGCTATGAAAACAACATGGCGTTCGCGATTTGACAGCATTAAGATGAGTGATAAATTGTTAAACTGGACATACTCGCAACTAGAAGGCTTTGGAAAACAATGATAAAATCAAATAATGTCAAACATTAGTGTAAATACTTGTTTATAAGCTTTATTGTGTCATTAATTTAAAGAAAAATGTTCTCCCATGAAGAAAAGTGTGATATGTTAGAATGCTATTTAGTGTGCAGAAAATCCTCCTTGAGAGCAAGAGAATACTACAGTGAATTATATCCCGCTCGCATTCAACCGTATGAACGATATTTTCTGAGACTTTATCGAAAATTTAGGGGCAACGAAAATGTTTTTGCTCAAACAAGGACAAAAAAAGAATTCATAATAAGCGAGGCCACGGAAATTGCAGTTATTGGATATTTTGAAGCTTATCGTGAGAATTCAATAGCAGATATTCTCAAGGACTCTAATTTCAGTTATGGTACTGTTCAAAGGATTTTAAAAAAATACAAATTTATTCCGTATAAGTACCGACCAGTTCAAACGCTTTTGGCAGGGGATCCAGAGAGAAGACTTGTTTTTTGCCATTGGTATCTTAGCTTCTGTCGCCAAAATGTAAATAACTTTCGTTACCTTTTATGGACAGATGAATCAAATTTTTCAAATTCTGGAATGTTTAATAGAAAAAACCACCATTATTGGTCAAGAGAAAATCTTTTGTTAGTACATCCAAGAGGCCCACAACTCCGTTTCAGTTTCAACGTTTGGTGCGGTATAATTGGTTCAAAAATTGTTGGCCCGTTTTTTTATGAGGGAACCCTAACTGGTGAAAGATATGAGGAATTTATGTCAGAAATTCTGACTAATTTCTTAGACGAATTGGATCTTATAAGTAGACATCATCTGCATTTTCAGCAAGATGGCGCACCTGCCCACAACTCCAGAGGTACTTATCATTTTCTAAGTACTACTTTTAATGATCAGTGGATAGGAACAAATGGCCCAATACAGTGGCCTCCCAGATCACCAGATCTAAACCCACTTGATTACTTCTTGTGGGGTTACTTAAAGAACCAAATTTACAAGCGAAGGTACGATAACCTTGACGCGTTAAAGACTGCAGTTAGGGAAAAGATAACCCAGATAGATGGTAGGACCATACTTAAGACAGTTCGAGCAGTTGAAAAACGTGCCCAAAAATGTATTGAAGAACAAGGTGGTGTTTTCGAGCATCTTCTTTAAAAAAAATTGTTATTGTATTTTGTAAGATTATAAGTTGATGTTGAAAATAAAGTTTGTCGATACAATTTAATTGTTTCAGATTGGAGGCCATAACTTCAACAATTTGTAACCTAGGAGAAAAGTTATTGTGAGCTTTTTTGTTTAAAATTTGATGCTTTAACAGAAAAAAATATAATATACAGGGGTTTCCATTTAAAAAAATGTTATTTTACTGAAAAAAATCAAAATAACGACTATCAATTGTTTTTTTTTATTTCTCATTTTTACCAGCGTTAAAAATGCTACTAGTTTGCTAATTCAAACAACTTTGTATTTTCACTAATAACAAAGTTACTAATGGTGGACACTTAATTTGGATAACCCTGTATAACATGATAAAAATGTGATTTTATCTTACAACAGAACCTATCAGCAAGTCATTTATTGAATCCTTAGACTTTGGAAGATCTGAATGAATAGCGTCCGCAACAAGTGTTTAGTAGATTTCCATGACATATATAAGTCGGTTGTGTTATCTCTTACATCATTGTCTATTGCAATTACTATACTCTTTTTAAGTGACTCATTGGATATAGAAATATTCCAGGTAGAACGAAAAACATTTCAGGTATTTGAATGTCAAACACCTTTGTCTTGGCCGTTCTATGTTTAGGTGATGATTTCAGTGACGTTTTGATATTTGCAAAAGTGGCAAATCTTGTCAGTATTACTTTATATAAATATTGACCTGGTGATACAGTGAAAATGTAATAATAATATAAAAAACTAGAGACCAGGGTACATTTTAAACTATTGAAGGATTTTGATATTACATCAAAAATTCTTAATCTATTAAGCTATTTATTGTGCACGTTCGAAAGTAATCCTAAAGCTGAAAAAGCTGAATTATTTTGAAAACATTGATCCATCCAAAATTATGTTTTGGCATGTTCAAAAATCTGCAATGACAATACTATGGAACTTTTTCCTCTAAGGCCACTGGATTGATTCTCGAAAGGCACATAGCCTCATCCAGTTATAAAGCTCGTAATTATACTTATAATTTTAATCATCACTCTGCCGCCATGTAGCAACCGCTGTCAAAATTTAAGTAAATTTCAGCTGGGCCTGGCTCACTATATAGACAATAGATAACAACAGACAAACAGACTCTATACTTTCCGCGCAACGCATCGTCAGTTCATAAAGGATTATGTTCAGTACTTCAAACGAATTATATTGATCAAGTCAGCCAAACAGGCGCATACTACATCGTTACCACCCACTTGACAACGTTACTGCTAGTTTCTTCCGTGCCCTAAGCATCTGGCAACAGTGTTGATCCAGACTAGCCAACCATGCCATAGATGCCAACCACGATATTATAATAGAGTGCCGGCGATGCAGTCAGGCGCAGACAAGGTTTCGCACCTAAAGGTCGCTCTCATCCCGACTGACAGTGCGTCCCGTCTATAAATATTTCTAATGTCGGCCATGGAGTCAGCGGTATGACTGATATCCAACGCGTCTGTTGAAAACAATTTTCTATCGTTTTAAGGACAAATGTTTGGAGAATCCTACGATGCGCGAGATACGTGAGTAAAATTATCGGGGTTGGAAGCGTATAGGTAAACTGCTGGCAAAGAAACTGGATTCACTCTCCCCTACCCCATACAACCTCGAACCTACGACCTTTAACCCCTACAAAAAAATTTCTGAAAGTGATCAACAGCCTCAAATTTGGAAAACAAAATTTGCGCTACATTTTTTTCCGTACTTTTGCTCTAAGCTCCGCCGCCACTGGACCGATTTTCAGAAACTACAACACTTATCGTTCCTAGCATAGTAGTAACCTTGTGTAAACATTTCATCGAAATCCTAGCGGTACTGCCCAGACACACAGACCGACGGAAATGAGTGACATAGTTTTTCGTGAAGCACATGTCATATACCATCCAAAAAACATAATATCTCATCTTTGAAAAGTTTCACGATTACAATACTTGCTCGTCAGTGGAAAATGAAATCGGTACCTCTGTATTGAAGTCCCTATAAATTTCTTCATTGTTCAACGCGCCTTGGACTAAAATCATTAAGGCATGAATCAATATGTCAAGACCTATTCACTCACTTAGCTTCGCTCTGGGCAACGTCTGTTCGTAAGTACGATAGAAACCTATATCAATCACTTACCTGTAGTGCTTCCAAAATGCTGTGTTGTACGATATCCCATCTGCACTCCTTGTTCAACCCACACCGCTGTACGTCACTGCCTATGACATTCGGCAAGGTCATGAACGCCTGCGCATCCGCCATGCTCGAACTTATGACATTTGACATTTCCGCCATGGCGACAGTGGAGCACGTCTTTATCTGTTCGTTGACTTCATCGGCTAGTCGATCCAAGACGTCTTCGTTGATCACGCACTTTGTTAAAAAGTCTTTGGTGTTTTCAGAGCTTCCAGCGCTTCTTTTTTGGATCCGTTTGCCCAGATTTGCTTTCATCCCTGAGATTTTTTCATGTATTGATTGAAGCTGCTCGGCCAGTATTGAGTCAGACATGTTTTTTATGTACGTGTCGTAGGAAGCAATGTTCTGAAAGTACGAATTGGTTTGAAAACTGCTACGAAGAATGGACATGTTGATTGGTAGCAAAATATGACATGAGGGATTAAATTAACAAACAATTATCAAATTAACGATATGAAGTCGAACAGATATGCACTGAACTCATTTCGTCCACTGCTCGTGACTGATCTGGGCTACCAGAAACTTGTTGTTGAATACAATCTTTTGTTTTATATTAAACTGATGTAGTCGCGTGAAGTCCATCAGACTATTAGAAAGAACACTGATTTGACTTTGATTTTGCTAGTAGCAAACTGTAAAAAACGTATAGTCGCCTTGTTTTGTCCAATCCGACGTACTACCGCTATAAAAGGATCAACGTGTACCGTGAAGTTGTTATGCCTTTCAACAGAAAATAGCATAAACTTACCAGTAGAACTTATTTTTTGAATGAGTCAAGTTACCAAGCTTAATTTTGCAGTAGTGAAATTGTTGCATGGAAACCATATTTTAGCATAAAAGTGGCAGTTGAAAACTCCAAGATGGCGGGTTCGCGACTTTTTGAATAGAATGTAAATGGGAGGTATTTTAAGGCTCATTGCGAGTACATAAGACCACTATCTTTCAAAATGGCGGTCAGGTAGCCTGTCAATGTTGAGCGTCTTTGTACTGGGTGCGCCATATATTACTTTTTTTTTACCTATAAGTTTATGTGTTACCATGTGAGTCAAAAGTCATGTGGTATGCATAAACAGACTGTCAAAGGTATGCCATTTATAGTCATGGATTCGTTTACAACACAACAACGCATTTTGGTTATCCAAACTAACTACGAAAACGGTCGAAATATGAAAAATACGTTTCGCAAACTTCGCACTAGTTTTGGCCGACATGGTCATCCTACAGGGCCTGGAATTCGTTGAATTGTTAATCGTTTTGAGGAAACTGGTTCAGATGAAGGTCGTAGACCATACCAACATGCTCGTCCAGCTCGTACTCGCGAAAACATAGCCGCAGTGAGTGAAAGTGTGCGAGAAGATCCAACCACCTCGACTAGGCACTGTTCGCAACAATTGTTAATTAGTGAGACCACTTTACGCCAGATTTTGCACATTGATTTACACCTCCATCCATACAAAATCCAACTAACATAAGAATTGAAGCCGGCAGGCCATCAACAGCGGCGTGTTTGTGTTAATTGGTTGCTGGAAAGAGAATACCGATTTTCGGCCAGAGTGCTCTTTTCTGATGAGGCTCTTTTTCACCTCAATGGTACGTGAATAAGCAAAATTTCAGATTCTGGGGGGCTGAAAATCCACACCAATATCATGAACAATCTCTCCATCCTGAAAAGGTGACTGTTTGTTGCGGATTATGGGCTGGTGGCATCGCTGGACCATTCTTCTTTGAAGATGCCGAAGAAAAGGCCATTACCGTCAACGGGGAACGTTATCGCGGCATGTTAACAGACTCTTTGTCGCCACAGTTGGATCGTATTGGTGCCGACGATCTTTGATTTCATCAAGGCGGAGCAACGGCTCACATATCTCGCGAAACAATCACCTTATTGCACAAGAAATTTCAAGACCGCATAATTTCACGAAATTCAGATGTCGGTTGGCCCCCGAGATCGTGCGATTTAACACCTCTTGACTATTTTCTTTGGGGATTTCTTAAAGTGTATGCGAATGGTCCCCGGACAACTCAAGACCTAAAGCGCAATATTCGGACCGAAATTTCGGTCATAGACCAGATTATTCTGGGAAAAGTCATTGAAGATTTTGATGTTCGGATGTTGGCCTGTAAACAAAGCCGCGATGGTCACATGACTGGGGTTATTTTTCACATATAAATGGCACAAACCAACCTTCATTTATCAAAAAAAAAAAATCGATTTCACCTCGTAAAAAGCGTGTTGATTTTTTCAAATAGAAAAAAAGTAATAGATGACGTACCCTGTACATCGAATCGCTTATAACTCAACAACTAATCATCAAAACTTTACAGTACGTTACAATAATATTCGTTGTACTCTAAAGGGCAAGATAGTTTTTGTTTTTAGTTTCGCTCTAAAAGAAACTTGAGTCCAGCTTGAAGTAATATTCGTACATTGCGCGTAAAAATTACTAGTAAAACCTCTCCGTATTCTCGGATCTCTAAATTGGTATTAAACGTGAGTCTGAGAGCGTTTACTTCTTTAAAAATAGTGGGTCAAACCAATGTAGATCAAATAATAATCCCTTAACTATTTCAAATGAACGCCAATTTTTCATAATCCTGATCAATTCAAGTGCCTTAATTTAGCTTTCAGTTCTTGCATTTGTCATGTTTGAGGTGAAACTGGTCCATACTTGTTTTGCCACATGTACTATGAGCTAAAGAAATTTTTTCACTACATCAGATTCTCTGAAGTGCTACTGTTATGTTTTCGATGTGTAGCTCCTCAAAAGCCTCAAAAACGTAGACAATTCAGTAATGGATGACTGCATCATTGTCTCTTATGGGTTTTCAGAGTCGCCGCTGTGGTCCAATGACTTTACGAATTTTCTACGGCCATCGGGCTACTAGGGAGCTACATATCGGAAAAACATAACACTTAAGAGGATTCGATATACTGGTCTATGGTTGGAAACGTGTGCTCAAAATTACAGCACTCCTAGTCGGTGTTGCATTTTCTACGTCATTTAGTAAATTTCGCCAATTTTTATGACTGTATTCACTAAATTTGAGTACAAACTACGAAGCTCAGCTATAGACTCACATAGCTTTTTATTATTTAGACTGAAATATATAGGGTGAAATATGTTAAATTTTAGATCCTCTATAATACCCTGGAAGGATAGACATTTTTTTGCTTAAACGTTAGATATCCGATGAAAACACAGCAACACAAGAAAACTAAAGTCGACTTCAAAATATGACAACCTGTCAACCATGTACATGATCTTAGTTGAAATTACCTGCAGTACTGTAGATGTGGACTCCTTCATTTGATTCTGAACATTTTCGCTTTCCTGAAGTAGCTGCACGTAAGTCTGAGATTGAGGGTCAATCGGAATTGCGGAGACCTAAAGATTCAATGAGTATACAGTTTGTCTTACACTGCAAAAGCAACCGTATCATAATTCAGCTTAATATCCATTTAGACTCTACCAAGATTCTATCTTATATTCAAGATTTGATCTTAAATAAGAACTTTCAGGCCATTCAGACCTCAACGACATCGTCTCAAGGCTAACCCCCATTTCTGTACTATATATAAATACAAGATTTTATTTAGAGGAACTGACTCGATGGAAGGAAGCTCTTATCAGCTGTAAGCAAATAACTCAGCATCTTCATTTACTAGTGATAAAAACGTATTTTTAAACGATTTCCGCAAAAGCAGGAAACCACAACGATCTGAGGGTATTTCGGTATTGTGACATCGGAATCGAATTAAGCATATCCAAAGGTATTCAGAAACACAATGCAGGTGTCGAAGTGCTTGACCTTTGCTGTACTTGGAAACAAACGTGTTATGCAATGCAATACAAATATGAGATAAAAGATTATCAGGGTATTTGAACAATATGATACTTGTCGAACAGTCAGGTGTTTCGAAGCTCATTTACATTTTGTGAATTGAAATATGAAGGTCTTCCCAAGTATTGAGCATCTAGGCGGATATGGAAAATAATCACAAATTTGAAGCTTGGGTATGTGAGGCTAAAGCATCGCACATCGGGAGCATATAATTTTCCAGCCAAAATATGTGAAAGGAAGCGGTTTATAATGTAACTCATGAAAATTGTCCTATGATTTTCATGATCATAGGACTGCATTGTCTGGCCGTATCAAACCATAATATGTATGTTATAATTTCTGTTTATTTTACGATGCACATACGTGTATTTCGATAAAAAATCCAGACAAAACTTTTTTGCATTCTGAGTTACTTCAGAAGCTGTTATGGTTAATATTGCTACTAAGAACAGCAGGTAAAGAAATAAAATGCTTATAGTTGAAAAACGTGAAAATATTTATTAAAAAAGAATAAAAGATGTTATTAAGAAGATGACAACCAAAAATCATCTTAATAATCTCCTACCTCTGGTGCTGAGTCTTCATCATCATCATCATTATCACCAGACAAATTAGACTGGCCCATCGGTTCTTCAGACAGGAGCATTTCAACAGTTTCCTCGAGAAATGGTTTTGTAATTTTTCTGCGAGTAGATCTCATGCCAGTTATCAGGGGATCTGAGCTCAATAATAATCTATTTATGATATCAAGATTGCAAGACTCCCTGCTGAACTTCCAAGCATAATTTTGGCGGTATAACCGAATGTGTTTATTGCGAGCCTCTGCAGTCTCTTCTGACATCATTCCTATAGACAATAAAGTTTTTTCATTGACAACGGGTCGATGGAGCAGTTTTTTGTGAAGAGTTGGTGTCAGTGGATGCCACAAATATAATTCAACGTACAGTTGTGCCGTGTCCAAACAAAATATTTCAAATTTCGGTTTGTCTATTCTATGGCCGCTTGATATCGCTTCTAAAATTACTTTAAGACGAAAAAGGAGACGGGTATCTATACCGATTATTGTTGCTGATAGCTCATGGTCCGTAAAAAATCCCCAACTGGTATTCCCAGCATGGCCGTTTCCGAAACCAGCTTTTGGAACGTCAGCTGTAAGATCCATTTGGGATCTAAATTCCTTTTTGTATGTCTAATGTCCTTTGTTGAACCATTTGTTTATCTCTTTCACTTCTTAATTGCCATTTCTTCACTGGCAATTTGTACGCAAAATGAAACACTCTTTCAAACAGTCTTATTCTGGCATGCAAAATTCATAAGTCAAATTTTAAGGACGTTTGTTTGACAAATCGTTGAAGTCTTTGGATGTAGCACCGCAAATATAGCATTTCATCGTGGATTTTGTGTTGGTTGCGGCATTACACACTTTCGCATCAACCATTGTGAGCATCATCACATGTTTTACTAGAAAGCTTTTGTTTAATTGCGCGACCTGTATCGGTTCCAAATACTTTATTTTGTTTTCTATATAATTTATTTCCTCGTGTGTGGTATCTACGGTTTCCTTCACAAATCTTGTGTGAATGAATCGGCAGAATCGTGGCGAAGAAGGCAACGGGTATCGCCATATTATCTTAGTGCCATCGCTAGAAGACAACTGTAACGGGGCAAATGAACTTTGGAATATATCTGCATCAGAATCGAAGTTATTTTCAAATTTTTGATTAAATACTGTCTGCTGTGATCCATCACATCCTCATTTATATGTCAACATTAGCGTGTTTCTTTCTTCACTATTTAAATTCTGGGGAACATATTTGTCAAATGCAATAAAAGCCGCCAAGTAGTATGATCTAACAAATCAGTGATTTTATAAGATTCTTGTACAGGATAACAGTCTTTCTTAGCCTTTTGTAAGGTCGTATAGCATGGGCAGAGTTTCTTGTTGAAACTTCTAATTATACTGTCTTCTTGTCAGGCCAGCTTCGACAAACATAGACAATGCTTTCATTGCGGTTAATACGGTTGCTAGCTGTCCGTCATTTTGAGATTGAATGTACGCTTTTCGATATTTTTTTGCTCGTGCTGAAAATTGCATTAAGTCTTTTATCACCTTTGAATCATCAGTCTTGACCTTAGAACGTAACTTCGTATGAGTGGCAAAAGTCAACTCTTCAGAGCTTAATCCACCGCGGAATGCAATATTATGCTAATATTACTAAAATATTTCTTTGGGCGCCCTGGTCGTGATTTTGATCGTGGTATTTCAAATGTCATTTGGAGCCAACGATTATTTCTTTTAACGAAAAGATCTTCTATGTAATGTGCGACAATCCCTCTACGTTTTATTTCTGATTTTAGATTTGACAATTTGTGTTTAACCTCTTTTCGTTGTTCTTCTGAATAATTTTGAGAATTCAACAAAAAGGATTCAGCATAGTCCACTTTTTCGTTAATGTCGTTATTGGGATAGACTTGTATAATGTCGTAAACATTTTTTCGAGCAATGATCTTGACTCCAGAGGGCCATCTAAAGAAAGAAACGAAATGGCTTAAACGAACGTTCATCTTTTATTTGGCGATTATACTGAAATTTGGATGAAGTTGGAAACATTTTCTGTGGATATGATTAGCCAAGATCTGTTGATATAATATGAAGCTAAAATCATAACCGGAATACATCCAGAAATTCATCAAAACTATTCGAGTTCAATTAATATCAAAGGTAAAAATGATTGGAACATAGTGTTTCCGCGAATCCCGAACAATCGGCTCAACGTGGCAACGTCGAGAGAGGGTTGAGAGAACAAGAGACAGTCCACACGTTTTTCTTCTCAGCACGACAAAAACTGTCTAAATAATTTTAAAATTTGAATATTAACGTAAAAGAGTGTTATTGTAAAACGTCTAATACAGACTGCAATTGTGCACAACAATAAAACTCCAAGAATTCAACGCAGCAAGCAACAAAGTCTATTCTTCATTTCACCCCACAAGGCGGCGACCTAACCGCTCAACACATAGATTTCGCGAAAACGCCATTTTTCTAATTAATCAGTTAATATTACATCAAAAATTGACAAAATAGGTTGTACATACCTGCCTCAGAAACATCCATGCTGAAAAACTGGTACACGTTACGTACTAACTTCTAAAAGCTTTGAAATATTGTGGCCACAATAAACACGCTGAGAACCGATACGTGAGCAATGAAGAATGATCAAATTCGCACCCCGACTACAGGCGAGAAACAGCAGCCGGTAAACAAAAAAGTGTGAGGCTTTTTCTAGCATCTGTTCCGGCATCTTAGACACATACCAGTTTTGCGATACGACCTATTCTGCAAAATCGACTTTTGTCCGGATTTTCAATTCAAATACCCGTATGTGCTACGAGTTGGCTACCATGTTCTTAAAAAAGGGGTACGTCACCCTCATGTAGCCTGTGGTTGAACCTTACACCAGATACCTGATAATATCTGGTTCAAGAGATATGTGCTACAGAAAAGTTACCTAACCAAACCGCAGAACTTGATTTTGTACAAAGTGGTCAAAATATACTTCTTTCTATTTATGTGGGCAATCAACTGTATCCACCAAATCCTGTCGAAAGCTGTTGTTAAAATTTTGTATCACTACTTCTATTACGCAGGTACTCTTATGATTTGTGGAAGTCCGAGACTTGTCGTTGCCCAATAGACTACTTGACTGACATCTAATTTCATAAAATGAATGAGTATCACGCAAGGGGATATACGAGCCTAATTTAAAAAAAATCTATATCTTTTTCCAATATGAAACGGTGAAACCACTATTAGCCATGATGTGTCACCATACAAATTGTAAACAACGAAACGTTATCCATATCTCACTCGTGGACTAACCTAAAGCAGCGTTCTCACGAGTCGATTTTAGTAGAACGATTTTTATTGATCAACAAAAATCGAATAAAAATATACTTGTGAACCGTGTTTTCGATTTTAGTTGATCAATTTTAGTTGAACCGAAAAACTTTGATCCATTCAAAACTTATCGATCAATTTGATGCGTCATAGGCGATTTTCAGACAAGTTGAAACGGATTTGAAGCATGTGAACTGTAGTCAGTCGAGTTTCCCATTGAATAAAGTTGATTTTGTGGCTCGTGTGCTTGTTGAGTGTGGAAAAAAAGACAAAAAATGAGCATGAAGTGGTCTGAAAGTATTGTGTTACATATTTTGGATTTATATCAACAGCATGACTGTTTATGGAATACCCTGATCGAGTTATCGAAACAAGGATGCTCGAGACAACGCTTTAACTATAATCTACTTGCACTGATAGATCTTCATATAATGGCATCTTGTTTTTGTATTTTGCTTTTCATCTTTAGTAGAAGTCCTTGAAATTGTTCTTCGGACATTCTCAAATGATTTTTGTAGGCATCCTTGTCCTCTAGAGCCAGCTCCTTGAGCAGGGTTCCTGAAACGCTCAATTTATCTCTTCCCAATATCCTGACCCAAAACCGACGTTTTCTAGTTTTTCTGTCAAATTTTTACAAAATGTCTCTGATTTCTTCATTTAATAATTCGTAAATAGCTGCTGTGCCTGTTTGGACAGCTTCGTTGGCAGCCATTTTAGAAACAACTAACGGATCAATTTTTATTATGTGTGTGAACAAATATTCGTTTCGATTTAAGTTGATCAACGTAAGTTGTGAGAACGCTGCTTAATACTCCTTACGTAGTTCTAAAAAGCCCCTAATCAACGTTTTCTCGTTTTAATGAAAAAAAAAACAATAATGGACGTTGAATTCGTAAAAGCAACAAGCACAAATTTGCCGAAAACTGACGCAATAGTGGTTGGTAATTTTTTTGACTGCAACCCAGATTTCTGCTCTGCTGCGCTGACGAACACTATGTAAGTACAGTACATCTAATATAATGATACACATAAAAAGAAAGAATATATCTACATAATCTGCCTTTTCAGAAGTCATTCAAGTCTAAGTTTATGCGTTATAAACTTTAACTAATTTTATCTAATATAGTATTTCCTCTTACACATGTGTAGAAACTTAATATCTGCACAGAAAAATGTAAAATATGTCTTAAACACCAGGTATGATCCAAGCAACACAGTGTTGCATATGTTCGTTTCCCTAGGCATCCGAACTTACAACATTCTTGGAGTCTTTATAGATGAGTTTTTACATTCTCGGACGATACAATACGATAAATACTATGTTTTTCATGTAAACTAGTAGAAGTTATGCTTATATGCTTAAAAGTTTGACAGTTTATGCTGCTGTTTACAAGTGGTATTACGTCAGAGTACATTAAATAATGGGCCAAACATGGTGGATAGAGTTTTTGCCTATCTAAGAAAAATATATTTTCAGATTAAAGTTTCGCGACCTTTTAGGTCTGAAAAAATATAGTATCAATTTTTTTCCTCTAATAGAACACATACTAACTATTTAAGGTTTACTTAAAAAGTGTCAACTAGCCCATTGCTGGACTGCTCCATGTAACTCAAGGGCAAGCAAAATACATATGTGAAAAAATGTACTTACCGTGCAAATAATCCCAAATAACACAAATGACGGCGTCATGGTTAACCAACAGTGCTTGTGATGATGAATAAAGAATAAATAAAAGAGACATCAGTATTATATACATATGTACAGTGGTTGTATTTTGATGAGCTCATGGCAATATAAATGATAAGCGGAGATAAATACACATTTTTTTAGGAATACAATTTTATTGCCCCTGTCGAAACGAATCTATACGTGTGCTCATAAGCTTACCCATTCAATATTTTTATTTTGACTATAATGAGTGCTGCAACTGTGCCTCACCTAAATGCATCCAAGTAAATTGCGTTTTCACACTATTTCATAATTTACTTGAGGATTGCATTGTATGGGCTGTGTTGTAATTTCTTGATAATCATAGTTAATCTTAGATTATGAGTTATTTGAAATTTCCAATAACAGAGCAGTAAAGATATACTTTACCTTTGGTTATAAAATAACAATAAAATGCAGATACATATAGTATAGTCCTTGAGACAACCAAGCATCCAGACGATTCATCGTCAAGAGCGAAGAAGTCCATAGACGAATAAATGAAGTAGAACGATAGCACTTGACATGCAGAAATTTAGAGTATCAGGTTGAGCTTATCAGAGAAGACTGCCAGCGACTTCCCCTTCAACGAAAGATTTAAAGGTTACCACTGCTTGAAACAATAGTAATTTGTTGCAGTTCAATGTTTGTAACTTAGCTTGTAAGAGGTAGTAGGTAAGG